AACTCAAGTTAGTCAGAGCTGCACAGTGAGACCCTATCTCTACTGCCTCCTAAGTGTGACTGTCATAGCTTTATACACAGCTTGTTCAGGACTTCCGTAACAGACGTCAACCTTATTACATGCTATCTGGAGTCATGGGCTTCTACAGAACCTTTTAGACTCTATAACATGCTCATTCTGTATGTATGAAAACCTGACAGCATTCAGATGATGCCAAGTTCTGCTACAAGCTTGAGATGTCGCTGGGCCCCCTGGACTACAATAGGCTGCAATAGGCTCCAAGTGTCTGTGTGGCTGACAGACAGCTGACCCTGTCTGCGTGTGTCAACCCTGTAGTGTCTCTGTTTTCTGAATGGAAGTCTTCCAAGTGAATTTTCAGTTTAATGCCACGGACTCCTCTGTGTGTGAAAACTTGCCTTCTTTTTTTTTTTTTTTTAAGATTTATTTATTTATTTATTGTACAGTATATAATCTGGCTGCATATACTCCTGCATGCCCAAAGAAGGCACCAGATCTCATTATAGATGGTTGTGAGCCATCATGTGGTTGCTGGGAATTGAACTCAGGTCCTCTGGAAGAGCTGCCAGTGCTCTTAACCTCTGAGCCATCTCTCCAGCCCCGAAAACTTGCCTTCTTATTGTGGACAACAACGAGTGTTGTTTCTCAAAGTGATAGTCGCTTTAAAAGTTTCAGCCTCTTTATTTACACCTCTTTTGGCTGCAGTTTTAAATGTCCTTCCTCCTGAACGGCTTGTCTTCCACAGCCTTGTCCTAGTGCCTTCCTTGAGTCCTCGTTACAAACCACGCTAAACACACTCAGCCACAATGATGCTACATCCTGAATGCTGTCCTGTCTTCAAGTTAGTGATAAATTAATCCATTTTGAATTTAGCCTCATCCTAATTTTAAGGACTTGAGGAAAATGTGGCCAGATTCTTTGAGAGAATGAACCAGTTTCCAAAATCCCTTGTTCCCTCCAACCTCACGAGGACCATGCTTACTATCTATTTCTATCAATGTTTTATTCCAGAACACTCATTAAACTCTACTGACAGCATTTTAGGGCTTGTCTAGCCCACAACTCCATTCCAGATTCTTCTAAACTCTTCCATCACATCTGTTCTAAAGGCCTAAAACCTACGTGATCAGGTTTATCTCAGTAATGACCACACTTCTGAGAATCAATTTTCTATGGTGTCTAGGTTTCCTGTGGTGGTAAAATGCCCACTGGATGCAATGGAAGGGGAGAAGAGTCTGTTTAGGCTCACGGTTTCCATCAAGATGAGAAAAGCTTGGGGATGGCAGTGTGAGGTAGCTGGTCATATCACCCCAGGAGAAAGCACAGAGATAGACTGGAGACAGAGGCAAGTACAACCTCCAAGTCCCAACCCCTAGTGACCCATTTTCACTAGCCGGGAGCCATGCCTCAAATATTCCACAACCTCTACAAACAGCACTGCTAGCTGAGAAACAAGTACCAGTGTCACACTTCAAACACAACCGGTCAAGTGTCAAGTGCTCTAATGACTCCAGATGCCACAACTTGAGAAAAGGGTCAGCGGGAGGAGCCCCAAACACAAATGCCTGAGTACACTGTGAGCCGCATTTATTTCCAAAGTCAATGCCGGTCAAGCAATATTTTCATCCAAATTAGCCAAAACCAGTTACAAATATAATGGTATCTTCATCCTCAGAGACCACATGATGGCTTCTAAACAACACTTCCCACCAGAAGGAACCAGAGCTCCCTGCAAAGGTGGCTAGTTCTAGGTCTGAAGAAGGAATTGTTCAAGATGGGACATCCCTTGACACTGGGAGGTCAAGAGGTTAGCAAAGGCCTTGAAATCATGTCACAAATATGTGGAAGTCACCTGAAGATGGAGCAATCTGATCTGGGAAAGGGGGGTGGTGGATTTAAGTATGTGAACTACACTGAAACTCGTGAATTCATGATTTGGCAAAAACTAGTTACTGTTGGAGTAATTTGTGAGCGCATCCCACTATCTCTAGAACTTGTAAATAAAAGCATACCATCTGGCATTTATTGTATATCTTGTTTGTTATACAGGGAATTCAACTCTGCCTCACACCAAGCAAACAGGACAACCCCATCTTTCCTTTCTTTCTTTTTTTAAAAACAATTATTTTGAGACAAAGCCTCATGAAATTATCCAGGACAGCCTCAACTGTGATCTCTCCTGCCTGTCTTGTTTACAGCTGTGGCTGTGGTCATAATCCACCACACCAGCTTCTTTGATCCTTTCCATGTGATTCTAACATGGAGTACTCAACTAATGAAAAAACAATTGTCTTTTTAGAAATGCTCCAGATATGAAATGAAGAAACAATGGTACAGTTGGTACCATTGTTAGGGACCATTTTCTGTACCATTGTTATGGACCATTGTCTATAATATTGTTAGGGACCATTATCTATACCATGGTTATCATTTTGTAACCATGATGATAAGCCAGTTGTAGACTAGAGAGTAAAGCCATAGCTTGAAAATAAAAAAAATCATGTACATAATCATCATTATCTTCAAGTTATCCTGGGTCCAGAGAGAAGTATATAAGGATATAGATGAAACGATACTGGTCATGTACTCATGTACTGATAATCCTAAAAGTTGAGTGATACATAGATTATTGAATTTTCTGTAGGACTATATAATTCCATATAATTTTCTATATGATTGAACTTTTTCATGATAAGATATTTTTCAAAACTAAGGATGGCCTTAATCCCTCAAGCCTTCTTCCATGGGAAAAAATATGTGGTTGTCATTTTATTTACCGATTTTTAACCTGTATCAGGAATTGTCAGAAGGTCTTATCAATTAAAACAAACCTGGAGCCAGGTATTGGGGTGAATGCTGGAAGATCAGAGAAATAGAACAAGCCACAGCCACCTCACCTTGCCAATTCCTCAGCTGATCCTGTTTCCTCAGACTGGAAGCTTCTGAGTCCTCATCCAAATGGATCTCAGCTGACTGCTGCTAAAAGCCTAAAAGCTTAACCAGCTCTAGTTCCTGGTTTTCATGCCTTATATACCTTTCTGCTTTCTGCCATCACTTCCTGGGATTAAAGGTGTGAGTCATCATGCCTGGCTGTTTCCAGTGTGGCTTTGAACTCACAGAGATCCAGATGGATCTCTGCCTCTGGAATGCTAGGATTAAAGGCGTGTGTGCCACCATTTTCTGGCCTCTATGTTATCTAGTGGCTGTTCTGTCCTCTGACCCCAGATAAGTTTATTAGGATGCAAAATATATTGGGGGACACAATATATCACCACATTAACCCGTAGATTATCATCTTATTGAAGAATGATTTTTGCATACAAACATCTATTTTAATAACTTTACATATATAACCTTGCATACCACCACAGAGACTAAATAACAAAATCTCATTCACTTTGCTGACCTTGAGTTTCTTTTCAGTTTATCATGCTATTTTATTTATTAATTATTTTATTTTACATGCATGAGTGTTTTCCCTTTGGATATGTGTGGTCATTAGGTTTGTTCAGTCCTAAAGAGGACAGAACAGGGCCTCCGAACCCATGGAACTGAAGTTACAGGTAATTGTGAGGCAAAATGTGGGTGCTGGAAATGGAACCTGGATCCCTCACAAAGGCAGCAAGAGCTCTTAACCACTGAAACATCTCTTCGGTCTCATAATTTGAGTTTCAGCAATAGTATTTATATTTATAATTGTACTTTGGCTTTCTAAGAGAATAAACTTAAGATGTATCATTTGGAATCTAGTCTGATCACAAATGGAGTCCTTTGTGGTATAAGCATCCAATACTTTGCTTGTGTATATTAAAATATAAATAGGTAAATAAATGCCTACAATGATATTATAGTGAATTCAATGCTAAAACCTTGAAAGTTTGTGGATCATAAAGATACTAAAAATGCCATTCAGGAAACTCATGGGTACTGACTTGAGATAATGTATCACCCAATTCTTGCTTTGAAGAAAACTAGTTAGTAGAAAGGGGGAAAGTGAAATAGGTTTAAAGATAAATAACACTAGCTTGCTGTGGGATGTTCTGTATGGCAAATGTGTTGCTCTGATAGGTCAATAAATAAAACACTGATTGGCCAGTGGCCAGGCAGGAAGTATAGGCGGGACAAGGAGGAGAATAAAGCTGGGAAGTGGAAGGCTGAGTCAGAGAGACACTGCCAGCCGCCATGATGACAAACAGCATGTGAAGATGCCGGTAAGCCACGAGTCACGTGGCAAGGTATAGATTTATAGAAATGGATTAATTTAAGATGTAAGAACTAGATAGCTAGAAGCCTGCCACGGCCATACAGTTTGTAACCCATATAAGTCTCTGTGTTTACTTGGTTGGGTCTGAGCGGCTGTGGGACTGGCAGGTGAGAGAGATTTGTCCTGACTGTGGGCCAGGCAGGAAAACTCTAGCTACACTAGCTAGCAAGCAAAACTTCTGTAGAGAAAAGTTCTTGCTGATAAACAGAAGAACATTTAAAGCAGTAAAGCATGGAGCCTGATGAAATTGCTAGTTCAGGAAGGGTTAGTAATCAGCACTGAGACAATCCCCAACCCACTGGCAGAGACCAGAGTTTTGAGTAATGCACCACACAGCCCAATCACAAGAGGGGATTATTTTGTGTGCAATTAATGAATCAAACTCATATTTATACAAATCCAGTAGTTGGTCTTAGTATATTGTTTCACCTGAGCATCAGAGTTGGGGAATCAATAACATGAGTTATCAGATAATTCTGTGAATTACCAGATCATATGGTGAAATAATTGCCCATGAGACAATGACTTTTTTTTTTTGTCTGACTCTGGTTTTGTGGATGTACCTGGGCTAGAGAAGCAGCCAACAGATAGGAAAACAAGGAGGCAGCAAGCTTGGAGAAGGAGCGAGTAGAGGATGGCTGATCTCAAGGAGCAGTGCTGTGGACAGAGTCTAAGGGGACATAGCAAATAGATGCAAGGTGTAGATGGACAGAATCTCGTAAAGAAGCAACTGCCAAAGACTTGGAGGAAGCTGGAGATGGGTGAATCACAGATAAGATGAAAAATTAAAAACTTAAGAATATTAACAAAGAGAACAATGTGTTCAATATGAATTTGCTTTGTCACAAAATTATGAAGGGTCTAAAAAGTAATTCACTTAGATGTTTATGGGATACTGTGAATGGTAGGATATATTTTCACATTTTTGTTCTATTCTACTTTATAGTTTTCTAAAATGTGCATATCTGCATTTGCACTAATGATGTACGATTATAAAAATATACAATGTATGTGATGCCCAAGCTTCCAAAAACTAAAATTCACAAAACAATTTGAACTTACTGAGTTCTTATGATTGTCTCAAAACCAATCTATAAATATAATGGATTTTTAATTCTCATTTCAATCAGGCATTTGTAGACCTTTATTATAGTAGTAAAAACAACAGCCATAAAAGAAAATTGACAATTAAGTGAAACTACATATCTTTTGCAGTTTGGGAGTAATTGAACGACAAATACTGAACAAGGGGAGCATTCCCCCACACCAACAACTTATATAGCTGTAGTAGAAAAAGTATTTTTTAGTTCTTTCATATGTATCTATTTATTGGGAGACACACACATCCAGTGGTCCATGTGAGAGGGTCAGAGGACAGCTGGTGGGAGTTGGTTCTCCTCTTCAACCATGTGGGGTTAGGGATCTAACTCAGGTCATAAGGCTTGTCAGTTGGTGCCTTTGTCTCTGTCGCCTAGCAATTTTCTCCATGACAAAAACCATACATCTAGGAGGGAAGATCATTATTAAAACACAAGATACCCTAAGGTCTCCTGCAGGTAAGCTCCTTAAGCTCAGAAAGGAAACAACTCAAAATCTTCAGGAAGTCCCTGAATCTGATGGGAGGCACTAGAGTGTTCCTCCCACAAGCGCGCAAAAGCTGTAAAGATTATAGAGAGACACTCTTAGACAAGCTGAACTAGCTGTCCACCTACAAGAAGCAGAGATCAGCCGAGCTACATGGAAGAGGTTTATAGCACCTGATAGGCCAGAAAGAGATACTCTTCAACCTGTTGAGCTGCCTGCAGGCTGGACAGTACACTTCAGGTTTCCAGCTCTCATGAGCTGTGACCTTGCTGGGGTGGAACTTGGTGATGCAGTTGTCTTGGAGTCATTTCTGCTCCTGTAAGTAACCCCTCACCCATACGCCATACGTAACCCCAACAAACTCATTGATTCACTGAGTGGACTTCGGTGGCCTGTGGACTTTGGTCTCTCATGGGTTCCCCCTCTGAAGTGAGAACACATTTGTTCAGATCTTCCCAAGGACAGTGTCATACAACAACAGGCAGAACCATCTCACTGACCCAAAAGCTTCATTCTATTATATTTTATATTATTTTATTGAGATTAAAGGCCTGGTTAATTTATTTGTTACTGTCAAATGCTTACTTTTAAGCAGACTCAGAAACAGGAGCTCTCAGTGAAGACAGCCTTGGCAATCTCTTCTGGCATTTTTCTTTGGCTTCCTTCATTATCTTGGCCAAAACATTAGCATATTCTGCAAATTCCTCCTTGTTTTTCTTAGTGCATTATTTCTTCAGAGCAATAGGTTGACCTTTGTGCTACAGAACGCGTGGAATGACAGGATGCTGAATCTTGGGTGCTTTGGACCCAGGCTTCTTACCTTCTTTGTTTAAGGGCTTTCTAATGACGTATTAGTGGACACTGTCTTCTTTAGAGAAATTGGAAAGCTTTTGGATTCTGCTTGGTCTTTTGGCCCCCATCAGTGAAGCATAGCACTATCTGTCGGTCCAGGAATATCCTTCTTTCCTATTATGACAACAACCAGCTTGAGAACACTCAGGTTGGCATCCACGATGCATCTGTAAACAGACTTGTGCTCCCTCTCCCCAGTTCTCTTCGGTCTCTAACTGACCTGGGTCAGCAGGTCATTCTTCAGTGATGGAGTCCGAAAGGGGAGGTGGCCAGGAGATGAGAAGGTAAAGAAGACAGAAAAGCTGGGGTTGGGAGGTCTTGCAAAGCTATGACTATGCCAAGGAAGCCTATTAAGAAGTGTAGCATCTTTTATGCAGTTTTTAGGGGAGAAATGGGACATAGTCAGTAGAAAGCTAATGAAACAATGTTGTAGAAGAGGAACCCAGAATATCTCAAGGCTCTCAGAGACTGAACACACAATGGCCTTGGCACCCATAAATCCAGTCTCTTCAGGGGACAAGCCAAGTTCCCAGGAACCAAAACCTTAACTCCTTCAAAGCCCTGGCCCTGAGATCAGACCAGACCTTGCCAAGTCTTCCCCTAGGCAAGGACACAGAACTAATGTTCCCTTTGTCCTTTCATCAGGGCTTCTGAGAAAGCCTTGGATCAGCCTGACTCTCAGTATAGAACAAGAATGCCCATTACTCAACAGCAGGTGTACTCTGCTGTGGGTCATGACACCTTGCTTCCCAGGAAGACCACGTCTGTCATTCCTGCCACTGATAAAGAGCACATAACCCTTCCACCTTTCATCCAGAACATTAGCGGCTCTTTCTGTGACCGTGAACTCCTCGTAGAAAGTATGAAGCTTGCGCTCACGGTCCACTTCAATTCGTCTCTGCCAGCCGTGGGTGGGAAAGGAGAGATTCAGCACTTCCTCTTGACATGACTGACCACTTGGAAGATACTATGCAAAAGAGCCTGGAGAACATCGTTAATTAATGAGAAAGGTAATACAATCCCCACCCCAAAAGGAAGAAAATGATGTCCACGGGAGATCTACTAATTGTAGAGTCACAGGCTGGGATGTTTGGAACTTCGAGGACACTAAGAGCAGCTCCTGTGGGGAGGTGCTGAGTCTGAGGAGACATCTGTCATCAGCACGACGGTGCGGGTAGGAGCAGAAGCAGGCAGAAGGCTCAGCCTGGCTCTCCCTAGTTCTCTGCCACAGGTAACTGACAGAAAGACAGCCCTTCCCTGGCTTGCACAGCAACCCTCCCCCCCTCAGAGTCATATCAATGTAGACTTTCACAGAGAGCTTTGATTTTATAAAGAAGGGCTCTGCAACTGTGATTGACCACCAGGAGGTCATAGTGGATGAGGGAGGATCGGAAATCCAACAGCCAGAATCCTTTGAAGCACAAGTAAAGACATGGCAGCTGTGCTCATGGGGAGAGCAAGTGATCCTGGGCTGAGGGGGGAAAGTGGATTGCTGGGAAGGGCCACAGGCAAACACTGAAGTCTAAAGGAAATTGGGAATCTTCTGGGGGGGGGGGTCCTCTGGGGAAGGGGGAGGGGGACCTTCCAGTACTTTGGGGATGTCTCACCTTTGGAACCATAGTGAATCAATTCCTGCTTTAAACTGCCCAGTTAATGAAGTTTATTCTAGCAACCCAAGAAAACTAATATCTTAGAGTTCAATGGTTGGCAGTGGTGAAGTCAGAAGCTGAACATTCTGAGATGGAATTGAATCCAAGGTCTGGCCACCCCAATCAGAATACTAGCAAGTGTCTTTTGATGGAGGAATGCTGGTATTAAGGTTTCTGTGCAGAAGCAACCATAAAACCATAGCTTAGAAAACAGCAAACAAAACAAAACCAACAATGGAATGGAAGAGCATGAGAGAGCAGAATTTGCTCTACCAGACAATAAGATATGCTATAAATCTCCTAAGAACACTGTGTTATTCTACCAGAGGACAAGATATGTTATAAATCTCCTAAGATCACTGTGATCAGGAACAGGAAACACTGACAAGTTTTGGAGTAGGTTAGAAAATCCAACAAGAGATTCCAAGATGCATGAGACCACTACCAGATTTGTCTTTTGTGATTCTACTTCGCATCTCTGATTTCCTGCAAATAAACTCAGCTCGAGACATTTCTCCAGCAAGAAGCAAGGCTTTCTCCGGTGGTGAAAGGAGGGTTGGATTTTGTTGTGGTTTGGGTGTGGTGTGTCTCAGCAGCCAAGGCTCATGTTGCCAGTTGCTTCCAGTATGTAACAGTGCAGAGTGGTGGTGAGCCCTTCAAGTGGTGCCCCATGCAGGCTGGATTTCCGTGGCTTTCTCTCTTGTAAGGTGATGTTTCTGTTTCTCCTGCTGTGTGATGATACAATGTGGAGACCCCCAGAGGAAGCCCTCTGAGACGATGGTGGCACACTTACAGATTTCCTGGCCTCTAGAGCCAGGAGTTCAATAAATCTCTCTCTTTTCTTATGAATTTCTCAGTGCGGGCTATTTTTTTTTTACAGCCACAGAAAATAGACTAAGACAACTTTCAAGTACATTCCTGGCCGTTGAAAGTAGCTGATGTGGTGAACTGAGGTCCAGGAAAATGTGGCTTTATTCTTCCATCAAGACCATGAAGTCAGTCATGGTTGGGTTCAATTGGCTTTTTAGCAGAATGAAATTAATTGTGGTGTAGGGACAGAAAGAGGATCCACCAGCATGCAGAGGCGGTAAAAATGCACGTGTTCTGATGGATCCAAAGTAAGAGGTTTGCTAGGGAGAGGCCAGACACCACCAACCAAGGGGTAGAATGTCCTGAAGAGCACACAAAGAATGTCAGAAGGCTGTCGTTTTCCCCAGGGCCCACGACATAAGGCATGGTGAAGGAAGGGGACGGGGACACAGAGTCCTGCATTGCCCTGAGCCTGAGGTGCTTGGCTCAGGAGTCTCTATCCCCTGGATGGGACCTAACCTCGGGGAAACCCTAGCCTGGCGGTCAGAGCAAGTACACCCCACGCTCCATGCTGCAGCAGCCACAGCCTCATCCCTGCTTCAGAAGCCGTCACAGATGGCCTGGGATCCCAAGCCACGCTGTGGAGGGACTGGGCTGCGACCAACTGTGTCAGAAACTTGTCCTCTTGGTGTCATTTAGTTGTGTGACTCCAGGAAGCGCCGGAAGGACAAGTTTCTGCTTCTCACTTTTTTTTTCTTTTCTTTTCTTTTGCAGCTACAAGGAGAAAGGAAGCAGAGAGTAACCCTGGCTTCATAGTCAAGAAGAACCATTTAAACATATCTGACATGTCCTTGGATACATCAGTGAGAACTGATTAGGATCGACACCAGTATCTCTCCAGTGCCAGAGCCGTGTGACAGCCAGGGGCTGAGTCCTTTCCAGTTTGTGCTTCTCTTGGCTCTCCTTCCCCACCTCGGAGTTTTTAACCAGCAGCTCAGTTTCGATAAACTGCAGTCCGTGTGTCCACGCCTACAGGGACAACTAGTGTGACATTTTCTCTAATTGTTTGGAAATGTGCACTTATACACGGTTTCACACATTTGGGTCCAATTAACTTTTTAAGCAGGATGAAGCTGTGTTAGGAAAAATGCTGCTTCTTTACATTCCACTCTTGCCTGATTTGTTGGAAGGAGCAGGGACGGATGCCCGCTTCTCTCCTTCAACAAGCAGACGTTCTTCAGAGATAACTGGGCAGCGCAGTGGCTCCTGGGTTCTCTGACCAGAAGCAGGCTGTCACTGACTTCTGTATTGACTCGATTTTTACTAGGCCAATAAAGCGATCACAGAATTCTTTCGCCTTGTTCAAAGCCAGCCAACCAACTCTGCTCTCAGACCCTCGTTCCCCTCAGGAATGCGCTTTTATCATAATTAGATTAAAGTTCCTGAGGTTCTGTCCAACCAACAGTATGTGTTAGCAGGATTCTTAGCAAATAGTTTCTCCAAGCCTGTAATTTGGGTCCTAATGCAGCCAGCTCATCCCTGGGATTTATAGCAATGACTACTGTCTGCTTCATGCTTGGGCCTAAAAAGCCTTCTAATGGCTCAGAAAGGCTCTAAGTGCTGTTTGTGAAGGCCTGAAATTGGGGCTAATGGTATTTTGAGCAGGAAATCATCCTCTGAGCTAATCCTATACTTGGTTCATTTTGTCTACAGAGGTCATGCAGGACCCTGCTCAGAATGGGGTCCAGCTGGGTTACGAGTCGGGAAGTCTTATTGGGAGAGGCTTGTCACCGTTCCCTCTGAAGCTGAGAAGAGAGTGAAATCAGTTTCTGACTTCTTCAAAGTAAATTGTCCAAACATCATCTTCACCTTCTTCTTAAGTGCATCTCTGGCTAGCGGCTCTCATATGACTGTGAGCTTCACCCACTTGGTATAGATTTGGTGGGAAGCATTCGGACGAGCTGATGAATCCCTTAGCAGTCAGTTCTTCTGCTTTCAGACTACATGACTTAGCTCAGAGACTGCACGTGTGCACTGGGAGATTTAAATGAGACCACCCCCCACTTGCTATTTAGAACTCTCATAGGGGATGGGAAGATGGCTTAGCAGGTAAAGTGCTTGCCATGTAGGCGTGGGCTCCCGTTTTCAGATTCCCAGAACCATGCAAAGCTTGGCGTGGCGACGCACATCTGAAAGTCCAGTGTTCCCATGGTGTGACAGGACATGAAGATACAGAATTCCAGAAGCTCATGGGCAAGCTAGCCTGGTGTATATAGCAGTGAATGACAAAGAGACCCTGCCTCAAACAAGGCAGAAGACCAAAACAACACATAAAGTTGCCCTCTGGTACCACAGGGACACCATGGCACATGTGTTCTCTGTCTGTCTGTCTGTCTCTCAGACACATATATACACCACAAGCATGCACACACATGCACACATGCATGCACACATGCACACATATACACACACACATACACACAGAGAGAGAGAGAGAGAGAGAGAGAGAGAGAGAGAGAGAGAGAGAGAGAGAGAGAGAATTAATTCAGTCAAGAAATGTCTCGTGGCATCTGTGTTCCTGCCTGTCTCACCCCAGGAGCATCCTCACCTGAGCCAATGCTGAACACTGTCTATCACAGACCCTGAAAGTAAACATCCTGCATTCCAGGGCTGACCTCCATAGACTGACAGAGACAGTTAATTCAAGCAAGGGTCAGTCAGTGGCATTTACAAATACCAGTTAGCTTAAAAAAAAAAAAAAGCAAACACGTAGAAATGAAGATGTTTGGGAAGGAGTGGACAACTAAAGATTGGAAGGTGGACACAACTTGCTGTCATGTGACTCAAACTGCCTGAGTGTGGGAAACAAGATGGCCATCCTCACTTAGCTCATGTGCTTAGAACATCATTCTCCAATTCTTTCGAAGCTCTTTGGGGAGGAGATTAAAGTTCAACACCATCTCTATCCAAAAGAAGACATTCATTAACTGGCTAACAGGAAGGTATGTCACCTTCTAATTGTTAACTGGTTTGAAGGGCTCCTTTGTAAACTTTGTGACAAATGAATTAAGACACTGGCCCTCTTGGTGTTTCGACTTAGATTGGGTTCAGCTTTTTGTGAACTGCAAGACACCTTCTGTAGCTGAAACCATGACTGTGATGGGCAGATTTGTTTCTGGGAACTCCATTAATTTCCAAATTCCACTCATTGCCAAAACCCAGAAAGGACCATCACCAGACAATGAATTCACTTGGTTGGGGATAATAATGAACGTGAAACTATGGCATTGGCAAGGTAATTTAATCTAACGTCAACTACATCATTCTTCTGTTTTATGGAGAGGGTAGAAATGACATTTTTTTTTTTTTTGCTTTCACATAAAATCTTTCTTAGGTGGTCTTGAACCTTGGAATGTCCCAAGGGAAGTCACTGGAATATTGAAAGTATTGGATTCTTTTTCTCCTCCAGACATCTGGTGGCATCACATATCGACAGGTAGAGATATGGCTATTGGTGTGACCCTTACTACATGAGTGGACACAACTATGGTCACACCCTTACAGAAGCATAAGATCCAAAGCATATTACTTAGGTTTTTTTCATGGCTGTGGCAGAATGCCTGATAGAAACAACCTAACAAGGGTATTTTGGCCAATCATAGTGGAGATTGCTCATAACTGTGCCCACAGGGGCTTGTTTACAGCCGGGTGGATCAGGAATCAGAGATTCACCTGAAAATGGTGCCCAGCTATAGATCCCAAGCCCCACCCCTCCCCAGAAAGGGAAACATGCAGCCATGAACTTGAGGAGAAATCATTTCCTCTCAAACCATAGCACAGCACATGCTTCACCATGTTGCTCTTTTCCTCTGCCTCTGAAGACAACAATATTGCCATGTGCATGCCCCATCAACCACAGGGACTGGGTTCTGAGCCATTTACTCATGGACATGCACATTCATAAACAGCATTAAAACTGTGTCAGCTTGTTTTTTTTATAAGTCATCTAGAACTGGAAAAAGAAATTTGTTTTAAAATGAGATTGTGAATGGCCCATTCATTAATTTTCAAATTTTTTTTATTAATGTAAGTATGTTCACATAAAAATGTTCATAAAATATGTTCACAATAAAAAGCAGAATGTTCATAAAGCATAAAGTTTGGGTCAATTGACGGGTGGAATGATTCAGGCAACCTGCCCTGGGATGTGTGGTCCATCTCTCTCATTCAAATATCCCTGTGCCCCAAGCTCACTCGGGATGCTGGGATGTAGATGGTCCTCATCGAACTTCATCCATTAAAGCTCTGAGGGTGAGGTGGTTCTGCTAATTGGATTAGTCTTTCACGTCAGTTGGAGATAGCTGCTGTTTGCCACATCCATCTCCACACTCTGGCTCCACACATACCTCTTCCCACAAGCTCTGCAGTGTGTCCAACAGACTGTTCATTTATAGTGATAAATCTGTGCCATTAATATGGTGATCATGTTCTGTGGCTATAAGTATCCCACAAGGGGAACAGCATCACCAAGAGACATGCTTTATGGGTATTCCTGATTCACAGCTGGTGAGCTACTCTTCAGTTACCCTTGATTATAAAAAAAAAAGCAAGGAAGACAGAATGGAACTCACCCAGCATGTCGGTCCCCTCTGATGTCGGGGTGAAAATCCATAAAGTAAGACACTTAGAGTGAACAACTTTGCTTTTCCCTGTGTCTCTTCTTCAGGTATAGGATTCTAAAATCTCCGTTCCCAGGGTCTGGGCCTGTAGCACAGTGGTAGAGCACTTCCCTAGCCTGTGCTAGGCTCTGGGTTCAACTCCCAGTACTGCACAATAAACAACTAACTAAATAAGCCCTATAGGCTTAAAAATCTCCCTTTTCTTGGTAGTTGACAAGTGTCTATTTCGCAGAGGGAAATGAGAGATGGGACAGGTGTTGTTCAGGGGGTCCAATGACAGAAAGGTGACCAGTGCAGAAACAAATGGTCAAGAAAGGGCATCATGGAATATAAAGTATGATAGCGAACCCTTTAATAGCGGACTGCCCTAAGAGAAAGCAGAAAATGAAGACAGGGGTGTCCGATTTTTGCTAGGTAACTGGAGGTTTCAGCGGGGAGAAGCGGGCTGGGCTTTGCTGGGAGAGCAGGGAATGAAGGGAAGTATTCACCAGCTAGAGGGATGCGAATTAGCAACCTCCCCTGAAGCCCCCTCTGTTTCCTTCTGCCCAGTCACAGTCTCCCTTGTAAAACAATTCTCCTCACAGTTTTGGTCTTCCTATCCAACCTATCTATCAATTAAATGTATGTAATGGTTTTTGTTTCCCCTTGAATTAAGTAGAATTAGATCAGATGTGATTTTCATCCTTTTTTAAAATTTACTTTATTTATATTTAGCTAATTTTAATTAGAATACAAAACAACAGATTTCCTTATGGTATTTGTATAATACTTGGTTTGGCCTGCCACCCACCCCCCTCCGCCCCATTCTCTCTCCCATCTCCCTGTCTCATCTCTCTGCCTCCACCCTGCTATCCCAGGGTTCTCTTTCTCCTTGCACCTTACACAGGGTCTATTCACCTCCCCACTCCATCCCTAGAGCCTGACTGGCTTTGGAGTTCTCTTCATCAGTGAAGACAGACATATTTAACTCATGCCTATGCTGTGTACAGTTCTCCTCCATGATTACACAACATTCTATTTTCTAGTCTTCTATGGATGGACACGAAGGCTGTTTCCAACTTGTCGCTGTCACAATGAGCATTCCCACACATGAGTTTATCTCATCTATCTCTAAGTAGCTCTGCAGATTGTAGAGGTTTTCAACTTTACTAAATATCATCAGAGTCTCTGACAGCTCTGTCACACTGATTTAAACTAACTAGTAGTAAATAGGAGATTGAAATTATTTTCTCTCTACACATTTCACAGCAATTAGTGCTATCAATCTTAAAAAACATATTGCTGTCCATCTCATGAGTATCAAAGCATTATTGTTTCAAGACTTATTTTCCAGGTCACTTGAGGTCAAACATTTTTATCCCCATATTTATAAATTACTTGTTTTCCTACCTCTGCTGATGATTTACTGATGCCACTTATTCTTGTTGTATATATTTTTTTCTTTTTTCATAGATTATTCAATCTATCCTGGACACGGTTGACTTGGGAGAATTCCTTTTCCATCCATTCACTGTAACTCTGTCCCTGGCACTTTGGAAACTTAATAATTTTAATAATTAAGCAAAGTTTATCAACATTTTTCTGTATTATTCTGTGTATTTTTACTTGTTCATTAGATCTTTTCTCTTACATGCCACAAACTGTGTTCTCCAAGTACCACGTTTCAATAATAGAAACACCTTCATTAGGAAATTGAGACTTACGTGTCATCCTCCAAGAATACCACATAGCTCCTGAAAGCAAGCCATGGCCATAGGACTCGAGGGTGTTGACAGGATGTAAAGCTTTAGCAACATGGCGGGATGGTGGAGTAGGCAGCCATGGATCCTCCTCACCCTACAAGCATCGACCTTCACCTGCATGTGCTAGGCAAATTGCCTGCATCAGAGCAGAAAAATAACTGAGTTTCTTGAACATCAGGAGAACATGAAAGTCGTCTCCCCAAAGCTGGTCCAGAGATGGAGGCCATACTCTTCTTAGAGATGGTGCCTGGCATCAGACAAACAAAGGGAAAATTCAGAATGATGAAATGGAGCACAGCTGGGGCGCTCGCTCAGTTGGCAAGGCTCTTGCCTTGCAAGCCTTGGGACCTGAGTCTGATCTCCAGAAGTCATGGAAAAGGTCTGGTGTGGTGGCACACACTTGTAGTCCCGACACTAAGGGGAGACAAAGACAGCCCTGGTGGACCTCGGCAAGCCTAGCCTAGTCTACTTGATGAACTCCAGGCCAGTGAGAGACCCTGCCTCAAAAACAAACAAACACAGAGTCAGAACACAAGAAAGGAATTGAGGAATCTCCTTCTGGGTCTACAGAAAGCTGCCGAGGCCGGGCCTGTGTCAGGGGTGTCCCTGCATGGAGTTCCAGAAAGGCCATTATGTGATGCTGTGACTGTGAAGACTGAATTTTGTTGGAGACCCCAAGGTATTGGAGATGCCAGAGCTGTGGAAGAACTGCAATCCAGGTGTGGAACCAGCCCAAGAGAGAGAAGTGTGTTGCAGTCAACAAAGGTGGAAGCTGCTGGAGATTTGAAGAGTGCTTTGACATCAGACAAGGAGATGCAGAATCTGGAGTTTGCCCTGAGGGTTTTCATCTTATTTTAGCCCATGATTTCCTCACCACGCCCTCTTTCCTCCCTCTTGGAATAGTAATGTATATTCTGTGCCACTGTATGCTGCAAATATGTGATCTGCATTTTTATTTTACAGGGATCACACATTGCCATGAGTCTCAGAAGAGACTTTGGACTTCAGACTTATAAACAGTGTTGAGACTATGATAGACTATGGGAACTCTTGAAGTTGGACTGAATTCATTTTGCGCTGTGCTATAGCTATAAACCTATGGGGCCAGGGAGTGGAATGTGGCAGTTTGGATAAGAACGGCCCTCATAGGCTTGAATATTTGAACGCTTGGTCACCAGGGAGTGGAACTGTTTGAAAGGTGTAGAAGAATTAGGAGGTGTAGCCTTGTCAGAGAAAGCGTGTCGATAGGGGTAGGCCTTGAAGTTTGAAAAGCCCGGGTCAGGCCCAGTCTCTTTCTCTCTCATTTCTTTCTGCCTCATGCTTGTGGATCAAGATGTGAGCTCTTGGCATGTATTTGTCCTGTCTACACACACACACACACACACACACACACACACACACACACACGCACAACTGTGACAGGCAAGCACCAGCCCTCTGCCAACTTACAGATGTGTTCATACTTAAATATTAGTAAAGAAGAAAAATGAAGGAGAACCTGGAAGCTGAGCTCCTAAAGCTCAGACAGGAGAGAAGAGAAACTTAGCTCTGTGTCCTTCTCCACTTTCTCTCCTGAAAAATCCACAGAAGAACTGTCACACAGGGGACATGTTCACATCCGTCTCCAAAGGAGTGCCCAGTCTCACCTCTAGGCTGCCTCCGGCTCCTGCCTAGTGTCTATTGCCCTCCACACCCGTCCCCTTGGCTGCTTTTTGCAGTCTGGCAGCTTATTTCTTCAGAGACAATAGGTTGCTGGTTTGGCGGCTCAGTGAGGGAAGAACTTGCCACACAACCATAAGAACCATGGAAAGAAGCCAGACACAGTGGCACACGCCTAGAATCTCAGTGCTATGGAGGTGGAGACAGGTGGATGACCTGGGCTTGCTGGCCAGCCAAGCAGGCCGACTTAGTGAGTTCCAGGCCAGTGAGAGACTCTGTCTCACCAAACAAAGTGGGGCATGTCTGAGGAATAATACCCATCAAGGTGACAATCAAGATTAGCACTGTAGGGGCTGGAGAGGTGGCTCTGTGATTAAGAGCACTGGCTTCTCTTCCAGAGGACCTGGGTTCAGTTCCCAGCACCCACATGGCAGCTCACACTAGTCTGTAACTCCTGTTTTAGGGGATCTGGCACTCTCTCTGGCTTCCATGGGCACCAGGCATAAAAGCGGCACATAGATATAGATACAGGTAAAACACCCATACGTATAAAATTAAAATTAGTGATGAAAACGATTACCTAGATTTCTCTTCGTATGGCCTCTGTGGGACTCCCTCTTCTGCAGGGGACTGCATACCTCATTTGCATAAAGGATAAGTTGTTTGGACTGTTACCATGCTCGTGACTTTCCCCCCTTATGGTCACCCCCCTCCTAATCACCCACACATCTCAGAGACATGGACCAATTAGTGGTGGGAAGAGAAGGGTGTTAGAGTCACTTATTGTACCTGGCCCCCCCAAATTTCATTAATCAAATCCTGAAACCCCCAAAGCAGAAACAGACAAAATATTGTCTTGTAAACAACAAAGTCTGCTACCATGGGCCCGGTGCTGTGGGGGCACTCTCAATGCTTGCTTCATGGAGGCTGATCCTGAAGATGTGGGCAGTGCCCTGCCCTGGTGAGCTCAGGCAGCTGACTGCCTCAGAGGGTCCCATCAGCCTGTGGGGCCTGTTGGGGCCTGGAAGTCATTTTTTCCAGATGTGCCTCTTCTGTTTCAAAGGCATGTTCGTTTGGAAGCCTGGGCAAGTGATCAAAAAGACTACTGGATATTGTTCTCTCTGTGTGATAACAAGTGGAATTTGGAGCTTCGAGGGTGGCGCTGTTGACTTCTGAAGTCAAGAGCACTTGTGCATGCACGCACACCACACACACACATACACACACACACACACACACACACACACACACACACACACACACAAGCAAGTGCACATGCCCTGGCCCTCCATAAGTAGGAGAGGATTCATCCCTTCCTGCAGTCCTGGCATCCATTTCTGTGGGAAGTATTAAAAATGCATGCTTGCTTCCTAAATATTTAAGAAGAATACTAACAGAGACCCGAAAATAGCTAAAAAGGCCTTTGCCTAGGACAGGTGCCTAAATTATCTAGGTTGTCAATCCAATTTAATATGAACGTTGAGTCCCAGCTCTCGTGATGGTTTTCCAAAAGAGCTGGAACGTGCCTTTTGTACCACCATACACTTCACAACATTCTCTGAACCTTCTTCTCATTCCCTCTCCCACTCCCGGCCCCTTCTAACCTAGCTGTTGGTTGTCTTTGCCTGTGATGGGGAAGGAAGGGAGGACGGAACTGAGTAGAGGGAGTGCGGGATTTTTCCTCTCCTTCACGTCCTCATCTTCCGAGACCTTCAGATCTTCTCAGCACCATCTTTTGATTCATCCTCTTCAGCTCTGCTAGAAAATTTATGTAAATTCTTTCAACTGTTTTAAAAGTTAAATTCATCAATAATGGGTGGAAGGTGGGTGCATGCGTGGTATGATGTGGCACACATGTAGAGGTCAGAGGACCACCTGCTTGAGTGGAGTCTCTCCATCATGTGTGCCCCAGGGATCAAACACAGGTCATCAGGTTTGACAGCAAGCCAGTCTTGCGAGGCAACTCACCAGCCCTGGCATTAAAAACAAAACAAAACAAAAAACATATTTGTGACTAGCTCTCTACCCAGAATCCTTCCAATGCTCCCCAAATTGACAAATTGACAAGTGGCATTCATTTCTAAACTCCACAGGCTCTCTCTCTCTCTCTCTCTCTCTCTCTCTCTCTCTCTCTCTCTCACACACACACACACACACACACACACGCATGCACAGTAACCATGCCCTACCAAGGAAATGTGCAATCCAATTACATGGAGCTACTAAAATCTTGAATGTGTTTCTGTGGTCCTTTTGTGTAAAACACTTGGCACGATTAACTGCCACGTACAAATCATGCCCCTGGGAAGGGGTTGGGATCACCTGCCTGTGCCTCTCCAGTGGGCTGTGTATTGTACTAACCTGGGGTGCATGTGGATGCAAAGATCATCTTCCATTTTTGAAGCTATGACTGCAGCATTTATGAACATTGGTAGTTGCTCAATTATTAGGGCCACTATGACTATTTCCTTGGAATAAATGTCTATATAGTGGGGGTTCCCTAATCTGAGGATATTAAATATTAGTGTAACTATCTTATTAAGTAATTTTGTAATATATAGTCATTAATCATTTTACAGATAACAACAGAGCATAGAATAGCACAATCTTGCTTTTATGTCCTTGGATACTAGGTAAATTTAGTTGTATTTTGTTTATTGACCTGAAACTCTAGATTAAAAGGCTACTTCTCCTTTGCCTGAAATAATTGTCAAAGGTGTCTGTAGCTTTTAGTTGTTATATGGTCATGTATACTACTCTTGGCTAAAATGGAAGCTACCTAAAGTCAGTCAATGGACAGGAGACTTACACTGGCCTTATCTCTTGGTTAGCATCCAAATCCATCTCACAGGAGACCGGGTCAATGTGTCCAACTGCAGAGCTGGGGCAGCTCCCTGCTAAGGAGGAGACATGGCATGCCACACTGTCTGTGGTTCGCTAGTGTTTAAGCCCATGTTTGAAATATACTTCCTTACACACTGCGTGGCTCTTGTTATCTTTGTCTTAGCAAACTTTTCTCCTGTGTGAAGCATTATCTACCTGCTCATTAAAAATATTTTTCAGTTTCTACTGTGAGCAAGGCTATTCAAACACACTAAGCACAGAAAGCTTGTTTTGTATAATTTCGTCAGTTTTATAATTATGAGCAATAAATAACCAGTGTAATATATAAAGACATTTCATAGCATATCACAAAAGTTAAAACAGAATAAGAGGGAATTAGAGAATAGAAGTATGTAGTATGAGGTGAAATGTTAATTCACTTAAATATTTTATTACCAAAGATCCTTGAAGGACTCAGGAGTTGACAGACATATAATTATCTGAAGTAGGGGGATCTTTAAGAAAAAGTAAAGGCAGATGCAAAGGCCCTGAGGTGCTAATATTCCTGGTTTATCTGGGGAATAGCAAGCCATCCGGTGTACCAGACAAGAGTGAGTAAGACAGGAAAGAGCGAAAAGTCTGATCAGAAAAGCAACAAACAGTTGGCTACGTAGAGGTTTATGGCCATTGCAAGGGGCCAGCCTTGTGGCCTGTGCAAAGCGGGAGTCACAGCAGACTCTATAGCAAAGGACTGCACCTTCTGACTTTCTTTTAACAGATACACCGTAATTTCTCAAGTTAGCAACAGACTTTTGAAAGCACAAGCACAAAGGCAGAGACTTTTGGAGGTCTGTGCGATGTTCCTGTTGTGCACTGATGTTTAGAAAAGGTGGTGGGAATGGCCTGGAATCGGGATGTGTTTTGATGCAAGAGCCAAAAGCCTCCCTAGTCACGCTAAGTGTCAGGTGGGTGAGCTCCTTGCGCCCGTCCCTCTGTGGTGATATTGTGTTCCCTAAAATATTGTGCACCCTAATAAACTTATCTGGGGTCAGAGAACAGAACAGCTACAATATTAATCATAGAGGTTAGGCAGTGGTAGCACACACCTTTAATCCTAGCATTCCAGAGGCAGAGATCCGCCTGGATCTCTGTGAGTTTAAAGCCACACTGGAAACAACCAGGCATGGCGACATGACCCTTTAATCCCAGGAAGTGATGGCAGGAAGCAGAAAGGTATATAAGGCATGAGGACGAGGAACTAGAGCTCATTAAGCTTTTAGGCTTTTGAGCAACAGTTCAGCTGAGACCCATTCAGATGAGGACACAGAGGCTTCCAGTTTGAGGAAAAAGGATCAGCTGAGGAATTGGCAAGGTGAGGTAGCTGTGGTTTGTTCTGCTTCTCTGATCTTCCAGCATTCACCCCAATACCTGGCCTCAGGTTTGATTTTACTAATAAGACCTTTTAAGATTTGTGCTACATCCCTCCTCTGCTTTATTAGTGCCCCACTCTGGACAAGAGCAAAGAGCTGCCGTAGGGTCTTCTTAGGACCAGTACTAATGCACTAAAAGTCAAGTGCATCCCCTATGTGGATGAGTGTTCTCTGGGTCTCTGCATCCAGAGGCAGGCAGTGCCTGAGGAGGAAGATGCACTTTGACTTTTGCCCAAAGGTTTTTGTTGGATAAGAAACAAACACATCAAGAGGCCACTCTCCTGGTCCCAACCAGCTCCAACTGCCTCTGGAGTCCAGCAGGATGCAAGGGAGCAGCCTCTGGGTGGGCCCTGCGTCTTTGTCTTCCTCATGTGATCCTGTGAACTACGGCGGGGAGCGCAGTGCTGCAAATTTTATTTTCTAGTTTCCTTCAGATTTATCATCTACTACTGCTTTTTCTTGTGAAATAGAACATTGGAGCCGATCCTTCTGTAGTAAACCATTTAGCTGCAACGAAAGTTCAAAGGACTATTAAAAGATGCTCTGAGAGTCACTGAGTCTGCCTCCCACATTTGCTGCTCCTGGGCATGTCGTTCTATGCCCAACATCATAGAAGCAGGGCTTGTATGGCAATGCCTTAACCAATAGTGAAGAAGCCAAGTGCTCCAGGACTGTTACTGTGGAAGAACGTCAGAGTTTTAGAAAAGTCAGACACAGAACCGAGAGTTCCCATAAACCCCTCACCTACTGTCTGCTCGTGGAGACACCTTACGTTGAACATTTTATGTGGTACATTGTGTGGGTTCTCTTTCTGTTACTGTCACCCAATAGCTGAGCTAATTAACACATAAAGGGGAAAGGTTTGTTCTGGTTCACGCCTTCGGTCCATAGTGGATGGTCCCTGTCACTCTGGGAGGCAGTATAACATGGGAAGAGGGCCTGGGGAGCAAGCCATTGTGACTGGGTGGAATGAGAGAGGAAGAGGGGGCCAGGGCCCTAACATCTTTAAGGGTATAACCCAAATGACCTGCCTTACGTCCAAAGGTTCCATCACCTCACAATGGTGCCAAGCTGGGGACAAGTGTGGCAGACAGGCCTGTGGTGAGGGACAAAGCTTCAGTGCATTCCTGGCTATGTAAGCTGCAGACCCATGCAGGTTTTCCTCGTAGGTCCACTCTGTCTATCGCTCATTCAGGATGCTCCACAGCACTGAATCCTCACAGCTTCTAGACTCTAGTCTCTTCCCGTTTCTCACTCATCTTTGCCTTGTGTGACCTGGACAGTCTAAGGGACACTGATCGTGTACTTTGGACACGTCACTCAGTAGGGTTTGTCCTTTTCACGTGCTTACTCTAAAGTTTGGAGGGTTTTGCTGTTGTTTGTTTGCTTGTATTTAAAGAAACAGAAAGGTTTCTCCCTTTGCTGGGGCACTCCTCTTGGACGAAGTGGAACAGGATCTCGGCTTGTGTAGGACCCTCAGCTCCTTCCCCAGCACTGAAAAACTAATTTCCTTCAGGTAACTGGCTCTAGCCACATCAAAGGCAGTAGGCTGGGAAGAGAGTCTTCGCTTTCATTTCTGTCTAGGAAAGATTTCTTATTCTCACCAAGATATGACAGCATTTGGAAGAGAAAAATAATCTCCTGACCTTTGGCTTTTTCTAGAAGTAGCCACAGAAGGGACTCTCTTTACTCATAAGCCCCATTTTCATACTGATCAAGACACAACACAGTTTATCCCCTCCCCCAGAGTCCCCCCCCCCCCCCCGCCACTGCCTCCAGTTATCTCTACCCACAATTCCCCACAAACCTCCCAGAAGGTCTCCTTAAATAAGTACCTTGGGATAATTCCCACCATTCTCCCTTGGTTAGGTGAAAGGTAAGTGGGATCCACTTTGCTTCAGGAACAAAGAGAAGAAAGTCCTTATGTCTCTCCTGAGCCTCCTCCTCTCCTCCTGGAGGAGGCAGCAGATGGAATTTTCTTCCTTCTTCCTCACAGGAACCAAGAGTGGAACTAACACCCGATAAAGGCTTCTCATCAAACCAAGCCCGATCAGCTTCTAAATAATCCACCATTCTCTCAGCAAACTGTCAGACCTGTAAGGTGCCAATAAGAGGAGGAGGGGGACTGGAGCCCCTGGCTGTGTCCCAGTGACATTTTCCAGGAAGGTCCCTAACAGTTGTCATCTCTGGGAGCCTCCGCTGTTCCCTTCCCTATTGTTGTCTGCAGCGGGGCGGCAAGCTCTGGATTTTACTTTGTTTTGTTTCAGCTTTTCAAAATAATAATAATACAATTAAATTGAAAAAATAAAAAGAATAATGCATGGTGACTTTTAAGCAGCGCTCAGAGTTTAGGAAACAGTACCAAGGGACAGAAACGGGAGAGGACTACAATGGACAATTCCCCCCCTTTCAGCTCTGAGGGTGCCAGTTTTTTTATTTGAACAGACATAAAATATCCTTTGTCATGTCTGCAGGGGGAGTAGCTCCCAGAACACGGATGACAGAGTTATTCTTGTGGCCAGACTGAATACTTCCTCCTCCTCCCCCTCCCCCACCCCACCCTCTCTCTTAAAAGAACTCTGTGATCCTTGTGGAAGCATTAGAAAATGTATATGAATTAAAAAGAGGAAATGTCCATAATTCTGGACAAATGGTGACAATGTTCACTGTAGGCTTGGGTGGTCTCTTTTATGTCTGTCTACAATGGAACAAAAGGGCTTTAACCGGAAAGAAACTATCCTGGATATTTACGGAAAAAGGAGAAGTAGGAAACGGCAGGCAAAGGGGAGCCCAGGAAATGTACTACCCTTTGTGGGGGTGACTCCTTTCTTCAGTATGGCACCCATGACATGTTACTTGCATGGCAGCTGGAAAGGCAGTGTGGAGAAAGCGGGAACGAAGTTGAGGTTGAAAGGTCATGGAGGGGCAGAAAGGTCAGCATATTTCTGTTTCACCTTTGCTCATTTTTTTTTTAAGTGCAGACTGAGATGGACCTGAGTGTCCCTCAGAATATGAGTCTGAGATGGACCTGAGTCTCTCAGAACATGGTCTGAGGTGGATTTACATGTCCCTCAGAATGTGGGGCTGAGATGGACTTTAGTGTCTCTCAGAACATGGTCTGAGATGGACCTGAGTGTCTCTCAGAACATGGTCTGAGATGGACCTGAGTGTCTCTCAGAACATGGTCTGAGATGGACCTGAATGTCTCTCAGAGCGTGGTCTGAGATGGATTTGCATGTCCCTCAGAATGTGGAGCTGAGATGGACTTTGGAGGCACGTGACATAAAGGATGCTGTTGTATGGCTTTATTTGTGGTGCTGCAGAAATCAGCAAGCTTTAGCCCAATCAGGCTGCTGTGGTAAGTACAATTTCAACAAAATCTACTATTACTATTTATGTACATACTGGCTGAGCATCTTTGTGCCAAGATAGCAGACTGGAGAAAGCTGGGCAAATGGAGACCTAGTGGACTGTAGTGATGGAAGCATCTGACCTCTGATGGCCAATAGTTTTTCAGTCCTCTTTACACTAAAATGGGAAAGTCAACTTGGTGCTCGTAATGTACAGTCTCTGGTTCAATGGCCACCTCTGTGAGTTCTTGTGGCACCGAATGGGTCTCTCCTCCCCTCTCTTCATTTGAAAGTTGACTTCGAATCCCTCTTAAAAGTTCTCTGAAGCCCAGTGGGAAAAGATGGGTTAAGACCCCCCAGTAGGCTAGGAGAAATGGGAATGATGGGTGGTAGACAGTCTTCTCTATGTTTTCCTGCCACCTCAGTACCCTTATGGTCAATGTATCTCTTGTAAATATCAGAGTTTAGAATTAATGTTTAAGGTTTCTAATGAGACTTGAACAATTTGCCTTTGTTGGGAATTATGGAAGTTTTGTGCTCATTTCTAATGTCCTAATGCTACTTCCTGTGTGTGCTTCTATTGGCCATCTCTTGCACCCTGGTTGACATCATGTTGATTATTTTATTCCAGTTATCAGGATGACTACCCACACACAGGTGTAACATGGCGACAGTATACGGATGCTAGTCCATCTCTCTTTCACCTATTCCCAAGAGGTCACCTCCACTGTCACAATGTGGGAGGTCCCCGAGGGACACATGCGCAGAGCTGGGCTGATGAAGCAGCTAGCGCGCTCTGCTCTGTGGGCAGTGGACAGAACTTGACTTTTCCATCCCTCGGGTAGATGATTCTGGAGTAATTCATTCGCTACTCCCGAGGGGTTTAAAGGACACTTGAGGGGGGTCAATGACAGGACACAGCGGGTGTACCTTCACGCTGGCTCCATCACTGCTCTCTACCTCACTCTCCAGGTCTCCAGCTGGGGGGCGCTGAGGCAGTTCCTGAGTCAGCTGCCTGTACACCAAGCTCCGATTCAGGAGCCAACCACTCTCTAAGATATCTTCTGGCCTTTTATCTTCTTTTTCTTCCTTCCTTTATCAAAACAACTGAGGCATTTCCATCCTCGTATTTTCCACCATTATAGGTCTGACATGTGGATAGCCTGTTAATGTTACTCTGACTACATGTTTATACACTACTAACCATTTTTGGGACAGTTCTGTGCTCTCTTCAGCTTTCTTCTAAAAAAAATACAAGGCATTTAGACTAGTCACTCTGTGAATGGCCAATGAATTTTTGAAATATCATTTTCCAGTAGCTTAACACTGTTCTCTTAACAAAATAAATGAGCTGTTTGTCAGGGTGTTCTGTGTTGCATGAGTCAGTTGAAAGAAGAGGTCACTCCACAATAAAATTTTAAGGCCTGTGTGGCAGCAGGAAGGTCCAACCTTTCTGATGAACTGAACTGAACCCCGAACAGCTGTACAAAGGCATGTTATTGATTGTTACACAAAGTTTTTGGGGGGAGTTAAGTGTTTCCTCATACCGAAGTCCCTAATCTGATCTATATGTATCTCTAAAGGAAAGCAGCATGTGTCCTCATGACTTCAGTCCTTTAATGTATATCGTTTGCAATACCGGATAATCCAAGAGCCTCAGGTGTGCCCGAGGTGTCTTGTGACCAAAGTCATGTGAGAGCTGCAATGCCCCTTCATAAAAGACAATTCTACAAGGCATGGAAAACAAGCACTGCTCTCCACAAAGATTCTTCAAGGTCAAAGTGCTTCTGGAAAACAACCACTCATTCCAATGCCCCCCCCAGATACAGCAACTCTGCTTAATTCCTACAACAGATACTAATGCTGCTGTTCTAGCTATTTAAACTTTTCCCTAGTGAATACCCATTTTCTCCACCTGCTCCTGCGGGCTGAATGTGAAAAGTCCCCTCTGGGCTCATGCATTTGAACACATGGTCCCCAGATCATGCTGATGTTTTGTAAAGTTGTAGAACCTTTGGGGGTGTAGCTGGTAGACATAAACCACCGGGGGCAGACCTTTTAGCACTATAGTCCAGGCCCACTCCTGGGCCAAGCCCTTTGCTTCCCATCAGACTCTGGCCACCATGTTGTCCTTGCCATGATAAACGATACCATCTTAAATTATCAGATATGAATCCCTTCACCCTAGTTTAGGTCGGCTATTTTGGAATAGTAACAAAAAAAAAACCTAATACAGAAAACTGTTAACAAGAAGTGGGGCCAGTGTGGTGATAACCTGACCACATGGTTCATGGGCTGTTAGAACTGGTCTGTAGCGGCATACACCTTTAATCCCAGCACTCGGGTGCTGTGGGATGGTCTGTATGTCAAGTGTGTTGCTGATTGGTCAATAAATAAATCACTGATTGGCCCGTGGCCAGGCAGGAAGTGTAGGCGGGACAAGGAGGAGAATAGAGCTGGGAAGTGGAAGGCTGAGTCGGAGAGACACTGCCAGCCGCCATCAGGACAAGGAAGATGTAAAGTACCGGTAAGCCACAAGCCACGTGGCAAGGTATAGATTAATAGAAATGGATTAATTTAAGCTGTAAGAACAGTTAGCAAGAAGCCTGCCACGGCCATACAGTTTGTAACCAATATAAGTCTCTGTGTTTACTTGATCGGGTTTGAGCGGCTTGGGACTGGCGGGTGAGAGAGATTTGTCCTGACTGAGAGTTTGTCCTGACTGTGGGCCAGGCAGGAAAACTCTAGCAACACTCGGGAGGCAGAGGCAGGGGAATCTCTGTGAGTTCGAGGCCAGCCTGGTCTACAGAGCGAGATCCAGGACAGGCACCAAAACTACACAGAGAAACCCTGTCTTGAAAAAAAATCAAGTAAGTAAGAACTGGTTTATAGAAGTAATGTGGAAGAGTTCAGAGCTAGAGAATGGAGAAGAGGCTGTAAAAGGAGCTTGTGGGACCATTTGGGTGAGAACTCAGAATGGTAACAGGAACACATTTACATAGCATCTGCCTCTACCTTTGTGTACCGCTAGCTTTCCCTGTGCACATACTCTGTTAGATGAAGCCAGGTAAGAAAGGGCTTCCGGTATCTTCCTGCATGTTGGACTCTTAAACAACAATCTTAATGCTGTAGTCTCTTGTCATAAAATGACCACAGTTCGGATGAAAATACAGATCACAAAGGCCCTGGCGGTGAGGTTTCAGAAGGGACAGATGGAGTTGTACTAGGATCTGGGCTACAGGAAATTCATCTTCATTCTGGCAAAGAATCTGGCTACATTCTACTCATATTGTGAAAGCTGATATTCCCCTGTGTAGATCTGTGATTTGACTTAAACAAAACAAAATCACAATGAAAAACAAAAACATTCTCTTAATATTTATCCCAGGCTAGCCTCAAACTTACCATTTAGCCTAGGATGGCCTCCAATAGGCCAGTCTTCCTTATCATCCCAAGCACTAGGATTCTGGGTATGTATCATTTGTTGCCTCTTAGATATATGCATGATCTGAGTACACATCTTTCCTTCACCTAAAAAGATTGTGACCCATTCACTGTTTTTAAGCCTCTAGTGCATCATGTAGACTCTCACAGAGAAGATGCATGGTCAACGGCTGCATCATGTAGACTCTCACAGAGGAGATGCATGGTCAATGGCTGCATCAATTAGACTCTCACAGAGGAGATGCATGGTCAATGGCTGCATCAATTAGACTCTCACAGAGGAGATGCATGGTCAATGGCTGCATCATGTAGACTCTCACAGAGAAGATGCATGGTCAACGGCTGCATCATGTAGACTCTCACAGAGGAGATGCATGGTCAATGGCTGCATCATACAGAATCTCACAGAGAAGATGTGTGGGTAATGGCTGATACATCAACATTGACTCGAGTTTGGACTCAGAATTTAATTTTTACCCCAGAAACCAAAGTGAATTAAATACACAGACTGCATCTCTCTTGGTAAAATCAGGG